GAAGAAATAAGTGACATGCTATGTGAAATGGTGAGGCTGGAAGGAAGTGAAAGCCGGAGAAAGGCTAGGGAGAGTTGACATTTGAGACAGAGGAGGAGTCATTTGCCTAATGGGAAGGGAAGGAGGGGTATGAGTGTGCTTGTGACCTGAGATTCGAGCTGCACTTTTCTTTTCTTTTCTTTCTTTCTTTTTTCTTTTTATTGGTGTGTGTATGGGGGAGGTAATTAGGTTTATTTATTTATTTGTTTTTAGAGATGATACTGAGCATTGAACACAGGACCTCATGCATGCTAAGCATGTGCTCCACCACTTGAGCTTCACCCTCCGCTTTGCACTTTTCTTTATACAAGCATAGTCCACCTTCCCTGCCCTAAGAGCCAGAAGCAGATTCCTTCCTGGTGATAATTTCCCTGCTGTTAGAATTTAGGGTGGTTTCCAACTTTTACTAGTATAAATCAAATTCCTGGGACAATATTTATAACTAATAAATAATTTATAGCTAAATATATATATATTTGGAATATATTTGCCAAAGTGTGATTAGCAGGTCTAAAAGTGGGTGAGTTGATGTGACAGCGTTTCCGTATTGCTAAATAACCCTTACAGCTAGATGGACTCACTGGGCAGGTCCACCGGCACAGGAGTCAGACTGTGTGGAGAGTGAATGCAATATCCACCTTGACCACTAGATGTCAATCCTTCATCATCTGTTCCAGGAGGGTTTTTTTTTCCTTCTGCGAATCAATTTCTCCAGCAGGCAACTCCAGCAAAAATAAGGTTGCCTCTTTGCTGGAAGCCTCTGTCTTTTATAGACAATGCTTAGCTTTCCCCGATCTTAAACATCATTCCTGAAAAATCTAAGAAAAGCATAAGACGAGAGGAAAAATTGCCCACGGTGCGGCCACCTGGAGATAACCACAGTTACTCACCTTTGGTCTTTCTCTGGCGTGCATATAAAACAGTAACAGCTCACGCTACTATGTGGTAGGCACTGTGTTAAAGGTTTTTTATAGATTATTTAATCCTCATTATGGTCCTAGAAGGTTAGGGACTATTCTTCCCTGTTATTTTTCTAGATACATTATATGTAAAACTGCTTGATGGAGATATATTTCAAACATCATAATTTCTACCATTTAAAGTGTACAGTTTAGTGGGGTTTTTTGCATATTCATAAAGTTGTAGCCATCATCCTGGTTTAAATTTAGAACATTCTCAATACCCCAGAAAGAAACCCTGTACATATTAGCAGTCAACCCCCAACTCCCTTCCTTCCAATTAGAAAGGACTACTCATTTTTAAAAGGTATTTATTTATTTATTGTAGTCATAACATTTAACATGAGATCTACAGTCTAACAAAATTTTAAGTGCCCAAATACAGTACTGTTAACTATAGATACTGCCCAAGACTACCACCATTTCACTCTCAGCTTCTACAAGTTTGACGATTCTAGATACCTTATATAAGTGGAGTTACACCACAGCCATCCTTCTGTGACTGGTTTATCTCACTTAGCATAACATCCTCAAGGTTCATCAATGTTGTTGAAAGTGGCAGGGTTTCCTTCTTTAAAGGCTGAATAATATTCTATTCTATGTCTCTACCGCATTTTCTTTATCCATTCATCTGTTGATGGACATCTAAGATGCTTCCACATCTTGGCTGTTGTGCTTAATGCCACAGTGAACATGAGAGTACAAATATCTCTTTGAGATCCTGATATTAATCTTTGGGAGATACATACTCAGAAGTGGGGCTGCTGGATCAAATAGTAATTCTCTTTTTAATTTTTAGTCTCTATTCTGTTTTCCAGAAGCTGCACCATTTTACATTCCCATCAACAGTGTACAAGATTCCACAACCTCATCAACACTTGTTATCTGTTGCTTTGTGATAATGGCCATCCTAACAGGTGTGAAGTGATATCCCATTGTCATTTGATTTGCATTTTCCTGATGATTAGTGAAGGAGGAACTGTTCTTACCCCCAAATAAACAGACTAGGAAGCTGATGGTGAGAGATGAACGTATCCAGGATCGCGTGTCTGGTAGGTGTCAGAGCCGGGATTTGAACCCAGGCAGAAGAGCTGCAGGATGTACACACACTGACTTCCACGTGCTTAGCAAACCTGGGATCATGCTGTTTTGTATTCTGTCCGTGTCTCTCAATGTCATATTGGAACAATTTCTCGTAACAATAAATATTCTCCTAAAACAGGATTTTGAGGCGGCTGCATGGTGGACTGTCTGTGCTGGGACGCTTGATGTTTCCTGGGCCTTAGGAGGCCCCAGGTGGTCCCTTTTGAAAGAGGCTCTTAGGACTACATCCTTGCGTATTTATGTTTGCGGGTGCTTCAGACCACTGCCGAAGCATAGACCCGAGAAGCAAAATTGCTGGGACAGAGGCCACACATATTTTAAGGACAAGTCCTCTCCCAATAGATGATACCAATATGCAACTTTACAAGAAGTGTTCAAAACCTGTCTTTCCCCAGTTTTTTCCTCCCTCGTCTCTCACCAAAGGCTGTAAATCATTTTGGTCTGCAATTGGTAAAGGATAAAAGTGGAGGGTGGGGGAGGACTTTTGCTTTGAAGATCAGAATGTATTCTCATGTTGGTGGCACAGGCTACAAATACAAAGCCTCAGCAACAGTGGCGTTGGTGGGACGGTATAGCTCAGTGGTGCAGCACATGCTTAGCATGCAGGAGGTCCTTGGTTCAGTCCCCAGTGCCCCCATTAAAACAAAAACACAAAGACTTGAGAACAAAAAGAACAGTGGGTTCATTAACAGACACCAGCTCCAGCCCCTGCCATAGGCTCATCTAGGGGAGCAAAGCCTGACCCCTTCCAGGTGATGCCATGGCAGTAAGCCATACTGAGACCATGCATGTCTCTGGATAAGGATGCAGCTGTGTGTTCTAATGGAAGCACCTACTAATTCACCCATTCGTTTATTCAGCATGTATTTATTGAGGGCCCACTATGTGCACACCACTGAGTACCGGAGCCAGCAGTTCGGAGACGTCCAACATCGGTACCATGGGGGCCATGCCTTGCAGGGGGTGTGGGCAGACGGCGAGATAGTGTATGTAATCAGCCAGAGCTATCATTCTTATTCTTCCTGGTGGTTTCTCACCAGCAGAGATGTTGCTTTACGGTTCCATCCAAAGAACTACTTGGAAAATCAGTTTTGCAGCCTGTTCGCTTGAGTCTCCGTTAAGCTTAGCTCATGATATTTACTGTTAAAAAAATACCAGCTCTGATCTCACCTTTGCCCCATCCTTTATCAGCTCTGTGTCCTCTTTCACCTCCTCTCATGCTCATCCCAAAGGAACTGGGTACACGTAACCCTAGACATACAGTAGATGTGCCCACAGATGGTAACTGCAGGGTTTGAGGGTGTATTTCAGGGTGGGGTGGCAAGACGGAAGTCAGTCCCCCGCCCTCCCCACCCTCTCCCTGAAGAGGAACTCTCTTACTCCTCTGGCCTCCTACCCACACCTCTGTTATTTCTTCTGTCTGGCCCTCACCTTTGGGGGTTGTCTCTTTATTTGTCTCCATGACTCGCTGGTGGGTTTCTAGTCGGCCCTCTATTCCCCGGGTTCGCCACAGTAACTGGCACATAGTGGGTACTCAGTTAATTTGTACTGAATGAAAAGATGACAAAGGAAGGGAGACACTCCTGGAGCTGCCTGAGTAAAGCCCCTTCCTTGCGTCGAGTCGGGGTGTGCTTTCCACCTTATCTAGTCTTTCCTGCCGCTTCTCCCATCTGGGCCTCCCGCTGCCTCTGCCCGCTGCTGCCCCCACCGTGGCCTCTGCCTGGGTCTCCAGGTGGGAAGAAGTGATGTTTCTCCTCCAAACTTGTCAAACTGCAGCAGCTCGAACCAAATGGTTTGTAGCTCTGCCCCTGGAGGGAGCTCAGAAAGGCTGAACACCTGGGTCTCCCTGTACACGAACGAGAAGCAGCCTCCCCAGCAGGCTTGGAGGCCAGGGGAAGGGCCATGCTGAGCCCCAGAGGAGTGAGAATGACTCAGGCGTCCACAAGGGCTGTCACTTGGGAAGTGGGACTGGAAAGGACACTGCAGATATCTGGTGTCTGGGGTGGAGGTACAACATGGAACCATCCCAGCTCGAGAGGCCTCATTGCCAAAGGTCCTCTAAGATGGGAAGAATAGAATCAATTTTTATGACCCCTTAACATCCTTCTAAATGAGACGGTGGCCAAGCTGGTGGAGGAGTCACAACTTCTTCCAGCCTCTAGAACAGCTGTCCACCACTTTCTTTGGGGCTGCCTCTCCCCAGCTCCAGCCATGTGGTTCTGGAGGAAATTGTCAGTAAGTTTTCTCAAGGCCATGTGGCCAAGTAAAGCCAATCATGGTATCCCATTCCCCAGCCACGATGGTTGGTCCAAGGCTGGACACGTGACCTGAGGTGGGCCAATCAGAGCCATCCCTTGTACCCTGATCTTTTTTGAGCTTCTTCCCTTCTGGGTTAGATGCCTTAGGGATGTAAAACCCTGGAGCAGGTGGCTGCAAAGTCCTTCACTATGTGTAGAAGCCTGAGGAAAGGAAGCTGTCAGGCCAAGAGAATCAAAGATGAGAGACGTGAAAGTTTGAGGGAAAGAGTGAGCTGATGGCTTTTGGTTTCTTGGCTCTAGCACTGAGCTCTTTGGCTCTGCTCTGGTCGCTGTGTCCTGGATCGCAGGGTCCTTCCAATAAGTCTCCCCTTTCGTTGAAGCCAGTTGAAGTTGTACTCCTCTCACTTGTTGAGACTAGATTCTGCAGTCCTGCCTGATTGTGATGCTCCTCCCCGACCAGATACCTGTTCATATTAGCACCATTGAGAATAATAGCTTTTATTATCTACTGAGAATAGGGCTTTGCAGAGCACCAGACAGGTCAAGCCACTGTCCCTGGGCAAGCATGCCCCGTGTGTGCATGCATGTGTGTTTGCCAGGGCCGGAGAGATCTGGTTGTTTCCTGAAGCGACCTGAACATTTACACTGCGGGAGCCAGGCCAATCCTGTTGTTTCCTCGATCGAAAACGGTGAAATACAGCCTCAGGAAGACATCACCCAGGATCCACAGCTCTGATTGGCTCAGCTTCTCTGAGCCTCCTTCAAAGTTGCTGTAGCAGCAGCCTTTAAGACTCTGGGGGAGGTGGAAATACACACCAGTCATCCTGAGCCCTCACCTGCCCTCCTCATCAGTATCCAGAGCTGGCAGCTTCTTGGTTTTATTTTCTTCCTTCGGGAAGAACCAAATTATCAGCTGCGGGAGCGGGATGCCCATCCAAGGATGAGAACGGCGTGTAGTTCCCTTCACAACTGCTGGACCTGTCCTTCTGCCTGTGTTCACTGCTCTCTCTGTAAAGAATGCCTTTCTTTCTCCCCTTCCCCACAACGTGTTCTGTTTTTTCTCTCTCTTGGTTTTTTTTAAATCGAAGTATAGTCGGTTTACAATGTTGTGTCAATTTCTGGTGTACAGCGTAACATTTCAGTCATACAGATACATGCATATATATTTTTTCATATTCCTTTTCATTATAGGTTACTACAAACCTGTTCTTTAAGACTGCTGTCAGCCCCCTCTAGGCAGCCTTCCTGGACCCATGCTCACCCTCCTTGGCCACTCCAGGCTGGACTGGGTGACCTTCCCTGGGGGCTCCCCCTTCTGTAGCCCTCATCATGCTGGATCTGCCCCAGGCACCCTCGGTGAAGCCCCCTGGGGTGCCATTGGCTTGGAGCCCCGTGTAGACTAGCTGACTTACCTCAACCCAAGCAGGCCCCCCCCCGCCTCCATGAAGCTGGAGGTTTAGAATGATTGAAATTCTCTCTCTTCCTCCTCTGAGGTCCTACGGAGCTGACGTTCATGAAGCCTGGACCACGTGTCAGGAGCTGTGTGGTCACTGTGTACCCTTTATTCACGGCAGCATCCAATTCCCCCACAGAGGGGGTCTGGTACCCCAATCCATAGAGGGGGAACTGGGGCTTAGCAAGGGGAAATTGCAGCCTAGGACTAGGGTAACCATATCATTTATCATCCAAAACAGGCCACTTTTAAAATGGGAAGGGAGACTGTTCATTATTATGGCAGGAAAACACACAGGACTGTCCCCAGCCAACCTCACTTGTCACCTGGCCCATTTCAGAGATTGCTAGAACTGAATTTTCGTGGTTATCTGTCCTAGGGCCCTTGTTGAACTGAAGCTCTTTGAGGGCAGAGACCCTTAGCGTTCCCCTCTCCTTGTGCCTAGCACCATGCCATCATAGGATGGTTTCACCATGTCTATTTGGTTTCACCATGTCTATTTGAGGACGATGGATATCCCAGATCGCGCTTTGCTATCAAGAGGCAGGTTTTGTGGGAGGCGCTGGCCCAGCCATGGGGCTCAGCAGCAGCTGTAATGGTGCAGCTCGGCCTGCAGAGGGCCCCCTCCTCCCAGTAAAAGCCCAAAGGTTCCTGCAAGTCCCAGATTTGGGAAGCAGTCTCCAGGAGTAGCCCCTCACCTGCCGGATGTAGGCGTGAGCTGGCACTGGGTAGTTGACGCCGTTGATGGTGAAGATGATGTCAGAGTAGGTGTTGATGGCGTCACATCCGATAAAGTACTGTTTGAGAAAGAGGGAGAGAGGTTGGCTCAGCTAACCCTTTGTGTGGGGAGAGCCCTGAGATGATCCTGGGGATTGACCCTGTACCTCATAACCCGTGAGGGGCCTGGCGTTAATGGCCTTCTGGATGTTGGTGACCACGTTGGTTGGGCCAACCAGCACTGCAGTCCCGGTATCCACAATGGCCTGGCAGCCGCCTTTACAACCCAAAATCTTCCCGTTCATGGTGATGCTGAGAGACAGAGGGACAAAGTGAACACCAGGATCACTCTGAAGTCTCCTGCCACTCCTGCCCCTTCCCTTACTGTCTCCAGAACAGCCCTCCAGCTCATGCCCCGGCTCTACTTCCCTTTCCTATGGTCACATAACCTTCTTGGACTTTCTTTCTCTTCTTGAACGTACCAGGTTCTTTCCTGCCTCAGAGCCTTGGCACATGCTGGTCGTCCTTCCTAAAATACCCTCATTCCCTTTGTCTGATTAATTTCTCCTCATCTTCCAGGTTCCAGCTTAATTGTTGCTTTTTCAGGGAAGTCTTTCCCCTGGACGAGGTCACGCTCCTCTCTTGGTCACTCTCTGTATAACCTGTCCCGTACCCAAGTGGTGATTCGCTATTTGTGTGACTCTGCCTTAACAGATGATGCGGTCTGTAAGAGCAAGTTGTATTCTCAATGCCTCCGTCAAGGGCCCAGCACACAGTGGGTGTGCGGCATGTTTGTCAAATGAGTGAATAAATGAGTGAATGAGGGACAACCAGAGACCTGGATCTGCTGTTTGACCAATAATGGGTCAACCCACATAGTGAAGATGGAGGTTCTCTGGGACAGCAGATACTCAGAGTGGTAGAAGGGAGCTGCAGGCTGCCCTGGGAGAGCTTGTCTCTCGCCACACACCCCACTCCACCCCAGCCCTGCCTGGCTCAGACGCTGAGGCCTCGGCCGGGCGATGCCTGAGCTAGCCCAGAGGGCCTCCAGAGAGCACTGAAGCTTTCGTTTGAGGGTATCACGTAGAATCCCGTCAATTATTGCCCCTTGTTCTCAGGCCAGTCCTAGGTTCCAGGTTTCTGATTCTCTCTGTCACAGCCCCTGCCCCACTGTGTGCCTGGGATCAGGGGAGAGGGTGGGTGGCATGGAGCGAGTGGCGGCCAGTGGGGACGCTTCTTCGTATGATTTACTTTCAGGTCTCGAGAATGCATCTCACTCTCTCCACTGCTGGGGAATCTCTTTCTAAGGAGATCGGTTTTCCCAGTTTGTCCAGGACTTTCCCTGTGTGTTTATATGCATGTCTGTGTGTGTGTCTCTGTATGTGTTTTTATGTGTCTGTGTATCTGGGTGTGTCTGTGAGTGCCTGCACGTGTCTGTGTGCACGTGTGGAGGCATCACCTGAGGGCACCCTCAGGCGGAGGGGCTTACCTGTCCATGCTTATCTGCCAGTAGAGGCGTTGGGAGACTGGCACCCACTTGAGCTCTCCCTTGTAGTAGGAGTGGTCCAGCCCGCCAAACATCACCACGCTGCCATTCTCTTTCTTGCTGAGGATGGGAGGAAGAGAGAGGACTCACTGTAGGAGAATAATGGGTGGCTTTTCTCAAGCTCAACGACACTCCAGGCACTGTTTGAGGGCTCTGTTTATCCACATATCAGAGACACGACTCTGATCCCTGTTTTACAAATGGGGAGACTGAGGCACAGAAAGGTGGAGTCCCTGACCAGGGGTGGTCACTAGCTAACAAGTAGTACAGAAGAGATTTGAATCAGGTTGGGCTCCGACCAATCCCCTTTCTGAAGAGGGCCTGGTCTCTGGCGGTCAGTGTCTGGAGATACGGTCAGAGGACACCGTGCTGGAGGGATCCGGCTGCCACCCCTTCCAGCCTGTCATTTTTCAGAAAAGTTGAGGCCCGAGGGCATTCCGGGCATGGGTTCAGGCTCACATGGGGCTAGCTTCAGGGGCCAGCAACTGGTGCTGTCCATGCCCGAGCTTCTGTTATCCTTCTCATGAAATTCCTCATACTTTTTGAACAAGCCCCTCCTCCCCCCACCATTTCATTTTACACTGGTTCCTGCAAATTACACAACTGGTCCTGGGCTCCCAGGAAAATGTTAGTGAGGAAGGAAAGCATTCCTGCCAATCTCTCTCCATCCTTCTGTATCAAGCCCATCAGCAAATCCTATTGCCTTTTCCTCCCACCTGTATCCTGACAGTCTCCCCTCTCCCTCTTCCCTCCTCCTCCCTGGACCAAGCCACTGCCCTTGAGCCCATGAGCATGGTTGTGTTCCAATAAAATTTTATTTACAAAAACCAGTGGCGGGGCCAGACGTGGCCCTGGGGCCAGAGTTGGCAAATTGTGGACTAGATGATCGCTCAGGAAACTTCTTGATCAGGTGGTCTATAATTTTTCAAGCCCCTAGAAGCGTCTTACAGATGCTTAGAGAGAGGGGTTGGGCAGCTCGGACTTACGTGCTCAAGTAGAAGGCAAAGATGGGCTCCTTAAGGAGACGTCGTTTCTTCAGGTTGTCGAAGACGGGGGTGGTCCCTACGACGCTGAGGGCGGGGTAGCTCAGGCCCAAGATGCCATCGAAGACTGCATGTTCCAGGAAAATACTAGGCTCCTTCTGGCTCATGCCAAATGCTTGGGACCCAATGACAAGGTTCCCAATCTGTGGAAGAGGACGGTGTCTCCATGTCAAGGTCTGGGAAGTAGGGCTGGGGCTGGGCTGGGGAGGAGGGTGGTGGGGAGATGCTGACAGCCCCGCAGAGGAGAACTGAGGCCAGACTGTGCTCTAGGTTGACCTCTGATGGTTAAACCAAGCCAGGACCTGAAGGCGGCTTCTGCTGTTGTGGGCTGGTGGGTTTTAACCCACACATGCTCCTCCTGCAAACGTCATCGGAAGTTTGTCCAATAGGCCTTATGCCTTCTGTCCAGGTAGGGAAACTGAGACTCAGGCACAATAGTTCCCACTTGAGGGCAAAATGAGTAAGAGGCAGGGTAATGTTCTCTTTGGCATCATGATAATCAATTTGATGACAGAAATGGGGTGAATTCATTGCCATTCACTGGATTCTGCATCCACCCAGGGAGACAGATGTCCATTATACAATGTAGCTGCCCTAACCCTAACCCTAACTCTAACCCTATGTAGCTGCCAAGGGTTCTTATGAAAACTCTGCCTGGGAAACACGTTTTTGGGTGGTGTATGTGAGAGACAGGGATAGAGAGAGAACTCTGGCACTTTGGGAAAGGGGAAACCATAGTTTTTTATTAGCTTCTCAAAGGACCCCTAAAGTAAGAATGCATTTATCAAGTCCTTCCAGCATCCGTGGTGCCTTGCTTTCCATGCCTGGGTGCCTGAAGCCCTTGGCTGCTCCTAGGGGCCCCCAGATCAGTTCCATCCTCTCCCCACCAAATACCCTACACCTACATGGGTCCTGACTGGCCAGCCGAGCTCTGCTGCTCACCAGGCGCATGGCCTTGGCCAAGGCCCTTGCTCGCTGCACCTCAGTTCCCTCATCTGTGTGATGGAAATAGTAACAGTACTTGCTGTGCGGGGTTGTCGCAGGGTTAAGCGAGTTATTATAATGAAAGAGCCCGACACAGTGTCTGGCACAGTCTGAGCATGTAAGGGTGGGTGGTTTCTTTCCCATCCTGGCTCCCAGCAAAATGAAACTTGAGGTAACTGTGGGCAAAGGAGCTGCAAATCCACACCCCAAGTCACAATTTCGGGAGTTTGTATGTCAGCAGGGGGACTATCTCCGCAGGGACACAGCCCCGCAAGGCGGGCAGTCAGCCACTGGGGGACTTTGGAAAAGGCGGGCCCTCCCCGCTGATGCTGTCTGTCCTGTAAGCAGCGGTTACTCCCAGGGCCAGCCCTGACTCAGCCTCTGGTTTCCGCGTTACCCGAACGGTGTCATAGCCGAGAAATCCTGCTATCTTCCCAGTGCCATAGGTGATTTCGAAGGGTCGGCCTTCGAGCGAGAAGGTAGTGGACCGTGGAGGGTTGAAGACACTGTGGTTAGCTGCAAAACAAGAGGTGAGTGTCCTCAGGACCCAGACGGGGTGGGGGTGGGGAGCCTGAGATGGGTGGGCTGCGGGAACACTCACCACAGGCCTTGCTGTCGCAGTAGATGGAGGGCACCCACAAGTTAGCTGAGCCTGTGTCAAAGACGACCTTGAAATTCTGAGGGGGTGTTCCAATGCTGATGTCGGCGATGTAAACCAGCTACAGGGGCCAAGGAAGGGTGGTTAGGGCAGGGCGCAGCCTCCCTCGGGGTGTCCCATGTCTCCTGAAATTGCTTCCCAACTGCCCCACCACACAGCCTCTGCTCAAGCCAGTGCCTTCCTCTGAGCAGCTCCCCAGTCTCCCTGTCAAGGCCCAGCCTCAGTGCTGCCTTCTCCAGGTGGCCCTCCTGGGTCACCCCAGACCACTACCTCCGAATTCAAAACATGTCCTGTCAACACCACACAGTTGGCTCCTTTATTTGACATTTATTTACTCTTTGCGTGTCTCTCAGGCTGGGCTATGCAATCTTAAAGAAGAGATGAGAGCTTTTTTTTTTTTTAACAATCAATAGCAATAACCAGGATGTTAGATTTTTATAGTGTCACCCACTATAGGGACTCAATAACTTTTTCTGGTGTCATTGTTGGGTCTGTGGAGGCTGACCTCCCTCTGCCTGGGGTTTCAACCTCCACTGGCAATTGGCTTTACCATTTGGTCAGACATAGCTCACCCTTCACCTGTAACTCAGTGGTTCACTTCGTGCGGGAAGAACAATGTCCCTCAAACCAATGACGTATCTTTGGCGCAGAGATGAAGGTTTATCTGCTACCTGGTTTTTGCGGGGCCCAGTCACCACAGACCAAGAGTTGAGGGTGGGACCTCCTTTTCCTCTGGGGACGGAGTCCTTGCTCCCCAGTGTTTCTGCCTCCTGCAGGAGCCCCCAGCCCAACATCCCGGCTGGTACCTCCGGAAGAACCCTAGTGCTAGGCCAGGCCTCTAGGGGGCGCTGTGGAGCACCATCCCCCCAGACACACTCACATCTAGGTAGTTCCTCAAGGGTTGAGTATAGACTCTCTTCTCAGGAGCCGTGTTGTCACTCAGGTGGTAAGTATACTGCTCCAGGAAATCTTTCAGCATGTTTTTCTCCCTGAGGTTTTCTCGCATGGGCTTGACCTTTGTTAGAGGGATTCTTTCACAGAGCATCGGATAAAGGAAACAAATAAGAGGCAGCAATTAACTGTCTGTGTTATAACGTGACCCACACACCTTACATTGTAATGGCACTGCATATTTTTTCCAAGCATTTTTATGTGTGCCATCGTATTATCTGGACACAATGCAAAAACCATGGCAAAGACCCAGGTTTAAAAAGACCTAGGGTCTGTCGTGTAACTTTGGGTAAGCCATATGATCATTTGGAGCCTCAGTTTCCCCATCAGTAAAATATAATGCCCCACACCCCGACATAGACTGCTTTGGGTATTAAGTGAGATGATGGATATAATGTACCTAGTGTACAGAGAGTCTCAACAGTGACAGTCATTACTATTGCTGATGTCATCTTCTATATCTTTCTCAGAGAAGCTTTGGGAGGGACGTAGAAGGGGAATCTTTACTCTCTTTTTACAGGGGAGGAATCTGAAATGCAGGGAGTTTGTGACTTGGCTGTGGTCACACTACTCATTAGCGGTAAAACGGCCTAGAAGTAGCCCTCCTGATCTTTCTCCAGGGTTCAAGCAGAAGGAGGGGTGAGAGAAGAAGCCACAGGATGGGGAATAAACGGAGGATAATAAGAGGCTAGAGAAGTTAGGAAAAATCAAAATAGAAAAAAACACAGAGAGTTCTGCATGCACAGAAACATCCAAAGAGATGGAGAGATAAAAGAGAGATACAGAGATGAAGACACAGAGCCACATAACACACAGAAATGGAGAGAGAGCAGACAGAGGACCTAGAAGCAAATGCAGGAGAAATGCTGTTTCATAGAATCACACCTACAGTTGCACAGGCTGTGCACTGAATAATTCCAAGGAGGGCCATTTTCACAAAGCTCGTGATGGAACCAGCACCCTTCTCCGCTGAGTTGTGCAACCCTGCAGGCCTACCCCAAAAGCCTTAGGCCCCTCCAGTGCCCCTGGCAAGCTACTCATCAGTAAGTGAGAGTTGAACTTTAAGACCATCGGAGAATTACATTCCCCTCTAACCCTGATGGGCGGCAGTATAAGAGGATGACAAGAGAAATCCAGAAAGAGAGGTGATGCCATTTCCAGTCCCTGTACTTACACGATCATGCACTCTGAGAGGGCCACCAGCCCAAGGATCCCAAGCCACTTCATGCTTCCTTCCTGGGTTCAAGTACTTAGAAAAGAGTGGGTTCTGAGCATGCAGTGGTGGCTAAGAGTTCTTGGTTATATATGCTCTAATCTGCCCTAAAGGGCCACTCGTGGACCTGATAAGAAATACAAACCTTTTGATAAGATCTTTTCCTCCATCAGTATCCATGGGGAGTGCACCTAGAAAATTCTCAGAATGCAGAGATTTCTACTATAATTTCTTCCTTGGGGCTTGGCTGAAAAACCAAACCAAGCCGCACGGACTAAGAATAGGGAGAATCTTACTACCTTGAAGATGAAACACTGCCCAAAATGTGATAAAGAGAAGTGCTAGGGGCCATGCTTGACATCCGTGATCTCATGCAGTCTTCCTAGCAACACCATGATGTGTGCATCACTGTCCTCAGCTGGGGAGGAGATTGCTAGGAGGAAGAGTGGTCAACTGGCAAAGTGAAGACTTTGGAGGCAGCCCACTGATGCAAGAGTGGCTTTAGGTGGTGGGACAGATGGCACAAATCAGGGGCACCTAGGAGGCTGATCTGCCTCAAAGATCTAGGCTAGAGTAATATTACAATTGTACAGTTTTAACATCGGAAAAAAGGTGATGCATGTATCCAAAAGTTATTTTATTCATCCTGCAGCCATTTCCGGAGGAAATGTTGGGGTCTGGGTTAGATGCTGGAATGTTAAGGTCAAATGAGAGACAGACAGTCCTTGTCCTTGGGGAGCTTGTAGTCCAAGGCAGTTCTCACAAACTCATGGCCCAGGAGGCAAGAGAAATGAATGGAGGGGTTAGATGGGTGTCATGGGCACGAGACAGCCCACGCCCCACCGCGGGGGGCTGCTTCTGCTCAACTCCAACCGGCGGCTGCCATGCCAGAAAGCAGGCTGGTTGGCCAAGTTTTCAAGAGAAATCAGAAGTCTGGATATTTATGTAAAATCCTCTGATTTTAAATATTAGCAACTAATTTTTTTTTCCGAAAAACATATTGTGAGCCTAACCTCAAGCAACTGTGTGTTGGATTCAGCCTGCAGGCTGTGCAGGTTATTTATTTACTATTATTATTATTATTATTATTATTATTACTACTACTTTTTTTTTATTGAGTTATAGTCATTTCACAATATTGTGTCAAATTCCTGTGCAGGTTTTTATTTCTGGTCTAGAGGTGGGAGTAGAAAGAAGACAGAGTTGGGAGGAGGTGTTCAATTTGTGTTGGTTGAATGAATAAGAGACTGAATGCATCTTAATTGTGTTAATTTTCCTTCCATGTGTAAAGAAAGACCACCGGGGTCAGATAAACCAATGAACTTAATAATTTCCACTTGCTGAGCATCTGCTGTAATTCCCTAATAGGATCCATGCCTTGAAACGTTTTGTCTGCCAAACCAAACATAAAAAGAAATAAATAATTTTTAAGTGTCTTGTTAACCAAGACCGAAAAATAAAAGACCATTCAGAGTTTCTGTTCAGCCTGAGATGATCAGGCCACCTGTTATACTGTTAATCCAGCCAAAGCAAAGATGATGGAATTTTCCAGAACTCCCAGAACCTGAGTGTTCACGTGTGAGATCTGTCCAGGCCTGTCCCTTGGGTGGAACAATGGGAAGCTGACCTGGTCACCAGCTTGGGTGATAGATGGAGTTGGGGGGGGGCACTGTGTCTTACTCCTCATTTTTGTATGTTGTCAAAATTCAGTTTTGGTGGTTCAATCCTTATGGAGGGGATTTGACAGCATCTAACAGATGACACACACATGCGGCCTTTAACTCAGCAATTCGACTTTTAGGAATTTATCCCAAAGATGCAGTGACAGAAATACAAAAAGACATATGCACAAGCTATTCACTGCAATGTTATTTGTAAAAGCAAAAGATTAGGAACGTACCTGAAGTGACCATCCAGTGGGGGAGTGCTGAATAAGTTATAAGGCATCTGCATAACTGGGTATAATGCGCATGGAGAATGGCGTGGAATGGGTGAGGTCTCCAGGGTACATTGTTTAAAAAAAAAAGAGGGACTAGAATGGTGCTTATAGTCTGTTGCTTTTACATACACATCTATGGATATTTTCAATAAGAAACAGTGGCAGCACAAACCTAAAACGAATAAAAATTGTAATTTATGAAGGAGGGACAGGGATAGAAGTGAGCTTTTTCTTGTTTGATAGTTTGACTTTGCAATCATGTAAAATGTGTTACAGAATCAAAAAATAGATAAACATATCTTCAACATTGAGAACAGACTAAGACAAATGAGCCTAATTGTATCAAGTTGGTAAGAACAAAACATGACTTAAGTGGCTTTAAAATACCGAATTCTGACTCTACATTCATAGTGGGATATTTTCTAGGGACAAAAACAATCCCTCCTCCCCCACTAAAAAGAGCCAAAACCAAAAATAAAGGAAAAAACAAAGAAATCTGAAACTATATGCAACCACCTTACTGTTGGTGATACTGTGATTTTGAAAGTAATCGTATGTCTGTTAAAGATTAAGGCAAATAAGTAATTATACTAATGTTGTTACGAAGCAAGCCTTTCAGTGGAGGGGAGAAAAGCAGTTTAAGAATAAAATAAAAAAGCTTAAGTAAAACCCCACAATCTTAAAACTTGAATTAGAAGTTTGTACGAATTTGTTATTTTCATTTTTCTAAGAAAATCTGTACTTTCTAATTCTGGCCACTGAAAAGCTTAAGAGCGATGGCAACTTGATAAGAGTGCCTATCCTGAGGCCTGGCTTGTCGCCTCTAAATACCATTTCCCACTAGAGGATCCAGAGATTCTTGAAGAGATGGCTGATTTCAGGGCAGTGTCAAGAAATGCACAACATAAGCCTGGGAACGTTGAAGGACCAGAACATTGAGAGGGCCTTCGAAGACCACTGTTGGCTGGACAAAAAGCTCAGGAATCCACATGAAAGGCTTCTACTGGTCAAAAGTGGGACAATTTGAGCATCACATCAAATTGACTGAAACAGATTAAATATATAGAAAGCCATGTGATATTATACAACATCTAATTTGCTGCCATGACAGATTGTTAGGGTACTAACTTATTATTCTTATCACTGAGAGAGAAAAGGAAAAAATCATCAATATTTATGCTATTTTTTTCTGTATGAAGTATATTTCATGCAGCTACAAATCATCAGTGAAGGGATGTACTTTTTTTATTGAAGAATTCCAGCAGGTAAATTCAGAAGAAATGGTAGAATTAGAAACCTCTGTTTTGCAACATCCTAATGAAACAGTGGATTGGGACAAAGATCATCAATGGATGCTAAAATCACAGGATGAAAAGTCGAAGCGGAAGTTTATTATGGATGGATGAAGTTGGCTACATCAGGACCCACTGATTGATCTTAGCATCTGTCAAAGGGGAGCAACTAGAAATTCTGTGCCTCTTGAAGTGATGTAATAAAAAATATATGGAACTACATATGAAGTATCTGATAAAATTTTTTCAACTCAAGACTAGCTCTAACTACCAGTTTTCAGGAAATACATAGATAAAATAACAGGGTAGCAATCATCTAAACCCAACACTTGGAACATTCTATAGGAAAAATGACCCCACCTCTCCCACTTTTTAAAACAATAGATGGCATAAAAAGGGAGAGAGACTTATTTATTAAAAGGCTCAAGAGACAGCAACTAAACACAGCATATGTGTACAGTCTGTGGATCCTGATTTGAATAAATAAACTGTTAAAAGGCATTTTTGGAGAAAACTGGGGAAATTTGAACATGGCCTGGATAGTAGATGTTAATTTTGTTCGAACAAAATAGCATTGTGGTATATATTTTGTGAAATGATCATCTCTGCCTTAAAATACCCCAGCAGAAATGAATAAATAGTGACAAATCTTAAAATGAGGGTTTAGATTAAAAAAAATTGTGTAGTTGTTATGGGTTGAATTGTACACAGCCCCAAATTCATAGGTTGAGCCCCTAACCTTTAATATGATGGTGTTAGGAAGTGGGGCCTTCGGGAGGCAGTTAGGTTGAGGTGGAGTCTTGAGGGTGGGGCTCTCACGATGGGATTGTGATTAGCGCCTTTATTAGAAGAGCCACCAGGGTTCTCTCTGTCTCCTTCCCCATCCTCTCCCCATCACATGTGAGGACAAAGTAAGAAGAGAGCTGTCTGCAAGCTGAGAAGAGGGTCCCTACCAGGAACCCGATTGGCTGGCATCTTGATCTTGGCCTTCTAGCCTCCAGTGTATGACAGCCAGGGCCAACTAAGACAGTAGTGTTGTCATTTTTGATGTGGAGTGATGAAATACAGGGTTTACGATACTATTCTCTTTTACTTTAGTTATGCTTGAAACGTTTTTTCAATAAGAAGTTTTAAAAAAGTCCACTTTGAACTTTCTGTCTTGGGCCCAGAAGGGCCCAAGGAAAGCAGACTTGGGCAGGTCCCCACTAGCTGGGTGGTTGGAGTCCCACTTGTTCATTACTCCAGACCTTCTCCTGTGACCAGGCCACCCTTCCTCCCTCCCCAGGGCTGCTCAGTGATCCAGCTGGAGACTTTGATGAGCCACACTGGGGCCTGGAGGTAGAAGGGATGAGGATATTTTCAGAAAAAATAAACTGGGCATCCCCTTCCCTGGTTTTCTCTTCTTTAAGGCAACTAAGGGATAGGGCCTGGGTAGGGAGGGAGCCAAGGAGTGAGGCTGTGGGGATGTTTGGGAGGGAAGCGAGGAGGAATTCACAACTGAGTAACCAAGAGGAGGGCGGCTTGCATGGGACCAGGAGGGACTCCTTCCCAGGAAGGGAGAAGCCCTGGGAAAGGAATGGTACCTTCCAGGGCTCCAGCTCTGGTGAACTGTGCTAGAGGTCACATTCTTCTTCCTGGAATTCCTGCTCTGGACAGGGAGGCAGTGGAGAGAGACCCGCTGCTAGTGAGCCTCAGGAAAGAGGGCAGCCGTGTTCCGGCGCCCTTTGAGTACACTTTAGCCTTTGGCATCACACCAAGCCGGACAGCAAAAGGTCAGGTCATTCAAAGC